AGCTTCTCTTCTGTTAAGTGAAGAATTTGGACTAGATGAGGACAGAAAGTAAATGTCCCACTAAGTACATTCTGATGGATAGGTGTGTAGCTGCCTAGATTGTGGGGTTGGGGGGAAATATATGACTGCATCCAACACAAAAGAAGCCTGGGCTTGATTAGTGATGTCTATCACAAGTGAGGGTGGAGGCAGCGTGGGAGGAGTTTTCTATCACTGGAGTAAGGAGATGCTCTCTTCTCAAGGAGTTGATGGTCTCTGGCAAATTGTCACTGATCCTCTCTGAGTAACACACACAACTAAGAGATTCAGAATCCAGGAAGGCACAGGAAGCAGCGTTTGGCTTGTTCAACTGTTTTTTTTTTATTTATTTATTATTATTATTATTATTATCCATAACTTGGATTTGAATAATCTGTCCCCTGATACTACTGTATTTCAGAAATTGCTACCTAAGGCAAATTCTCCAGTTTTAAACTCATTTCCTGAGTCGGGCTTTTTAAACCCCTGCATTAAATATTGATCTGCCCTGGAGAGATCTAATTTATTTAGTAGAGACAGGTTCAACTCCACCAGAACTGTCAAACCCAGAAATGGGGCCATGCCCCTCCTAAAGCAATAACCATCTAGGATGGTGACAGATAAGCCAAGGACACAGCACCCAGCTTCATGCCTCCCTCTGAGTTCAGAAATAGGCCTGCCTTTCTGGTCTCCCACTCACCAGGTTGCCTGAGTGGCTTTAAGCACCTTCCAGGAGGAGGGATGTCTGACAGGCCAGGTGTCCGCTCTGTGCCAGGGGACTCCCCACCCACAGCCTCAAGCCCTGGGGACCCATGAGATGAACAGCTGGAGCCTTTGCTGCTTGCTCCCAATGTGCTCTCCTTCTGTGGCTCTTGCTACCAAACTCTGACCTTCATGTCAGCAGCTGCTCCCTGGAGCCCTGCTTCTGGCCCAGGAAGGCAGCGTTTCCATTTGGGCGCTGGTTTTTCACCTCAGCCCCAGTGAAGTTGGACTTGATAGCTTTTCTGAATAAACACAGTGAATATCCCCTAAAGAAAACCCCTATTGATTCTGTCTAGTGTGACTCCAACAAATAGACAGACTTGACCCAGCACACGCTGGGGCAAGGGGCACACACCCCGCACACCTCCCGTGCCCGCACCAGGTGGACCAGAAGCTCAGGCTCCTTGTCCGACCCACCCCTGGAGCCGACCACCTCCTTCCATCCCTGGAAGCGCTTGCTTCAACAATTTGCATGCTGGGTTGACCCCACTTAGTATCTCCATAATCTGTTTCAAGCACAAGGAATCAGAGTTCCTCTTGAATTTCTCGTAACATCCTTATGGGGCCCCACAGACCAGAGTCCCTGCAGCAGAGGACACAACTTATCCTGTGAATTGGGGAACCAAATTCTAATGAAAATCTCAGCCTGTTGTCCTACTATATCTGCATTTTCTCTGCTAATATGGCCAATAATTCCATGAGGAAGGGGTATCATTATCCCACTGGGAGTTATGAGGAGACTGAAGCTCTGAGGCTATAGCCACTGGCTACCTGGGACTAATTAAACTAAATGAAAACTTCAGTTCCTAAATCCCACACGCCAATACCCAGTATTGACTGTGCAGAATTGTAAGATGTTTCTGTGCTCCAGGAAGTTCTTTTGGACAGCACAAAGAGGCATAAAGTAACGTCCTAGGCCACACAGACACGAGTAGCAGAATTGGTATTTAAACCAGGCCAGTTTGTCTGCAGAACCCAAATGCCTTTCCACTGCCCTCGCCTGCTGCTGAAAGAAATTCAAAAAGCAAAGCGATGAGATGAATGAGATCTCAATGGGGTGAGGTGTCTTCCGGGGGGGCACATGAGAGGCCAGACCGCTTCACCAACCACGTGGTTGCCCTCTCCAGCACCGTGGGTGGTGTGCTCTAGGGCAGCCCTTGACCCCTGTGTCTTCCCCGGGGGGAGAGGCCTGGACCCCTTCATCACTCCCGTTTCCTATCCCCCTAGAAAGGAGGCTCTAACACGGCTGAACACAAGAATGTCTTACACATGACCAAGCTCCGAGATGTCCTGGAAATGGGGGCAGCCACTCGAGGTCCCCCGAGGTCACTGAGCACATTTTGTGCTTTACTTGCAGTTTTGAGTCAATGATCATTTAGACACTCCTGTGCCGATCTCTGAATTAGGCACTTTACACCTACACAACCTGAGTGAATTCTGGACCCCAAGTGGCTCCAGAATGTTTGCAAACTAAAAACGAGGGGAAATACTTCATCTTGATTTGTATCTTTCAATATTAAAGGGATTTGAGTTACAGATTATAGCATGATTTTTTTTTTATTTTGCACTGTGGATATGAACTTACATTTTATTTTTAAAAGTAGCTTTAGTGAGCAATAATTCACACCATACAATTCACCTATTTAAAGTGCATGATCATTTTCAAATACTTCATCACTTCAAAAAGAAGCTTCCTGTCCATCTGCAGTCAGCCTCCTTACTCCAACTCCCTTGCCCACTACCACTCATTGCAAACAAATGGTGTCAGGCAACATGTCGCCTTTTGTGACTGGCTTCTTTTGTTTAGCATAATATTTTAGCAAGTATTAGAAATTCGTTGATGTTGTCAAGTACATTGCACGGTATGGATACGCACACCTTCCCCACTCATCAGTGATGGACCCGCTGCAGGGAATAATGCCTTGAGCGCTCACGCACAAGTTGGGTCTGGAGGTGTTTTCATTCTCCTGGGTCTAGACCTAGGAGTGGAATGCTGGTCACATGGTAACTCGATGTGTGAGATGCCAAGAGATTGCCAAGCTGGATTTCCAAGGAAAGTCAGTCTAGAGCCACGCCTGGTGGATGTCAGGAAGGAGGCTCAATGCTTGCTGCTCTTAGCACTCCCAGAACTACTAAGCGGTTTGGATCAGAGGCGGAGGCAGAGTTCTGTATGGGAGGAAGCCAATTCCCAGGCCCCAACCCTTGCTTCCCACGCACCCCACTGGCGCTTCCCAGCCCTGGTCCCCCCAGGTCGCTCCCTCCTGGCCCTTTGTACCCAATTAGTAGAAAAGGTAACTTTGAAGTTGTGACACTGGGGAGCCATTGCCATTCCATGTGCACACTGTGTGTTCAACTCTCCTGCACCTCAGGCCTTTCTCTCCCCAAGCATCCAGATACAAAGCTCAGGGTCTGGAGGTGGGTTCCCTTGGCTGCTGTGAGCTTCCTGAAGGTCTGAGCAACCCTTGGCCGGAGGGGACTCCTCTAGAGAAGCAAGCAGGGTATGATGGCTTAGGGAAAACCTCTGACAACTACGGCTATTGGTAGGGAGAAAACTATGTTTTTTTACCTTCTCTTTGTTATGAAGTTTCAAAGAAAATAAGCGTTGGGCTGCTAGAGTTAATTGTTCTCAGGCGGGAGGAGATTGGGGAGTGAGGAACGCCATCTTCCCAGACCACATAAGACTTCTCTTCTTGGCATCAGCCAAGATGCTGGGCCTTTGATCTGCCATGGAGTCCGCTGTCCTATAGGACTCAGGCCTCAGCTGTGAGGTGTGGCCTGGCCAGGAATCCCAACTATCTGTACAAGGATTTCAAAAGTTGCTCAGAAGGAGCTCTCAAATCTCCTTCCCAATGTACAGCTCCAGGCCAGGACCTGATGAACTGGAATCAATACCAGGGAAAGCCCCTCCCGCCACAGAACAGGCAGGCCAGGTGGCCTCTGGTAAGAAATGAACACAGGACCTGGCAGACGTGGCCACCGCCGGTTTCGTCTCCCGCCCTGACCTCCTGTGACTCACTGCACCCACATTCTAATCAGGATCATCCCAAGGTAGTTCGTATCAAATGCAAAGTGGCCAACCGCCCCAGTTTCCCCAGGACTAAGAAGGCTCTTGGTATGTTGTTTTGAAACAGCAAAGCCAGGACTAGTAGGCCACCCCAAGTAGTGACGGCCAAAACGTGTGGGTTGAGTCTCCGAGAGTAGCTACTGACTTGAAGGGGAGAATACCTGCTGCATGGCAGTGTTTAGGGAGGCAAGAGAGAAGTTGGATGAATGGATGAAGCAGAGAGGCCGTTGGAAATAAGAGGTACAATGACTGAGGAACTCCAAAGTCACCTGGTGACTGCTCAGCCTTCCAGAAGTGCAGGTTCATGAACAGCGTGATGTGGCTCCAAGGGGACACAGGCGAACTGACTTCAACCAGGATCCTACCACTTTACTTTTAGGAAGGCAGACTTTCTGAGACCACCTTCCCCCTGAGCCCAGTGGGGAAACACTGGCTCCCCTAGGTGCCTGGGGGCATGAGGGGCTGGGATGTGCACGGGCCTGACAAAGGGCTGGGGCCCATCACAGTCACGGCTCCATCAAACAGGAAAGTCAGTTTCACTACTTTGTAGCCCCACACTGAAGCTGTCACCTTCAGCTCTAAGCTCGCCGATTCCACCCACCAGAGCCCGGCTAAGTGCTTCCCCTCTATTGACAGCCTGCAGACTCCATTGAGAGGAAGAAGAGGTGGGCAAAGGCCGCAAAGAAAAGGTTGAGCCACTGACAGTGCAGCAGAGAAGCCCACAAAAGCAGGGTGAGAACTGTGGAAGCCCGCTCCCCTGGGGCCCGCGGGCGTGGTCCTGCGTTAAGGAACAGTCGTGAACGCCTTGAGTCATTAACAGGTAAATCTGTTCAACACAGTGTAAGATGACAACAAGCCAAACATGCTGTACGTTGGAGCAATATCACCATGACAGGCGGGACAAGGTGACAGCTACAGGCGTCTGGGAGACAGTACCAAGGAGCTTCCTTCTTTGATGATGCTGATAAATGGAGCTTCACCAAAAGCACATACCGGGTCTTTGCGCCTCAGCAAGGTGTTATTTAGGGAGAAGGAAAGTGGTGGGAAAGGGGAAGGGGGAACAAGCGGATGGGACTAAGGATTCGACCTTCCATTTAAAAATAGCAAGTCTCTGCGTGACCGCTCGGCCAGAGCCTCGGCTTCTGCGAGCGGAGACTCAGAGTGCCTGGACCTTCCTGGGGACGCTGGGCGAGTCGCGGCCCCTGCCCAGCAGCATGCCCTCCAGCCGCCTGCAGTGCTCCCGCAGCTGCTTCTCCCGGGGCAGCAGGAAGGTGAGGACCTTGTTGCGGACGATGCCTCGGTCCTCCTCCTCCCTGAGTCGCTGCTTCACGCGGGCCGCCTGCTCCTCCTGCTGAGCCAGGACCCCGTTCATCTCGCAGAAGGCGTCTTCCAAGTAGTGGATGGCCTTCAGGGCCTCCTTCTTGAAGTCCTCCAGCTCCCGCTGCACGCCCGCTACCTTCTGCTGCAGGAGCTCCAGGTCAGCAGGCGGTGGGAGGCAGGAGGGCCATGACGGCGGCAGGGAGAAGTCTCCAGACTGGAGGCCACTCTCCACCATCTTCTTCCCCTGTAAGGTGTTCACCTTCATGAGAATCGACCCCGCTTGATAGAGGGGGTCCATCCTCCGCTTTCCTGCAAAGAGAGGGAGTTAAGAGATTGGACAAGTCAGTGGATTTCTTTGTTTGTAATTTAGCTACCAACACAGTCACTAGGAGCAAAGCCCGCACATTGTGACATCAAGCCCCCTGCAGCCAACCAGAAAGAAAGCCACATGCGCTCATTTGCATATTGTAGCTCCCCAGGTTGGTTCCCTAGCACCAGGCTGCTCACCCACCCAAGTTGCTCCCCCAGAGTGTGGAGCCTTCTTAACTCTTCACTCTTCCAGAACCAGAGCTCAATCTCTCCTTGAACCTGAGGAGTAAACTGAGTCCCAAAGCAGGGCAGTGAAGGGGCCAGAGGAAGGCAAGTCAGGCCAGGCTCTCTTGGCCAAGTCTGGGGGCACCTGTCACACTTGCAGGGGTTCGGGTGGTCTCAGAATAGTCTTCGGGCTTTGGTGCCGCCCCATGATGCCAGGGCATTATGAAAAATACTGCCGACTCCCCCATCTAGCTCACAACTGTTGAAAGGGTATTTTCTGATTCCAAATCCATACTCATAATGATGCCAGAATTCTAGATAATTCTGGGAACTTTGAGAAACGAATTTAGGTTTTGATTTATGGCCCATAGCAAGGGCTGATTTGGTAGATGCTGTGTTCTCTTATTCTCGAACTCAGTAAGTACTTAGTACTCACTATGCACCAGGGAATAAGTGTGAGCAAGAAGATGGACATTGTACTTCTTAACTGATCGCCACAACAAAAGAAAGTGTACCTGGCTCACCTTAAGAATGAAGTTCCGTCTTGCAGATTTCAATCTCTTGCCCAGACTTCTCTCCTGGTCTCCCAAGCTCCATGTCTTCCCAACCACGTGCCTCAAATACACAACTGAACCGGTTATCATTTCACCCAAGCTGGCTCCTGATCCAGCATTGTCATCAGAAAATAACAAGCATCCACCCACACGTGAGGGCAGTGTCCATGCCCGTGCCCAAGGAGACACCTGCCTCCACCCAACCCCTTCACATGCAAGAGGCTGAGTCCTAATGGCTCTACCATCCATGAGCACTCTAGTGTCCGATGGCTGGGGTGGGGTCTCAGTTCCGCATTTGCAAACTGGGTCTCTCCTCGCATTACCTGAGCTCCCTGAGCCTGTTTCCTCGTCATAAAGTAAGGATACTAAGTCAGTGGTGTGCAGGCACTGTGCAGTTAAGAGAAAAATAGTCAGACTTGTACCTGTTGCCGATTTCCATGGTGTAAATATGACCCCCTGTGGATAGCTGCCTTTCTCGAGATGCAGATTGACCTACTCAGAGTGCCTTGCGGTCAACTCAGAGAGGGTATTTTTCAGGGAGTTTCATGGCTAAACTACAGTGGAATTTTGAATCTCAAGTTGGGGACAGCAACTCCAATTGTCGCGACAATGTCTGGAAAGAGCACTGTTTTAGGAGCCAGGGGAGCTGGAGTCTGGAATTGCTATGTGCTCTGAGAGCAATCACCTCCTCTCTGAGCGTCCTGCTGTAAGGAAGGAAGGTGAGAGCTGGCTTCTCTGAGGTCTTGAGTGCTTAGATCCACACAGTCCCTATAAATCTCCCCAAGGCACTTAACGCCTTCTCCCTCGTTTTGTGACCTAGGACCTTCCAGGTCCCCATGGCGCAGTAAATCCCATGAGGACAGGGACTGTGCATTTGTCATGATATGTACCCCCAAGTGTCCACCTGATAGCTACAAATAATGTACTTGATAACTAGATAAAAGCATTTATTTTTGTAGGAGCCTATCGAAGCCGGGAGCGCCCCTAGCTTTCCCTCTGACATGATGACACCTATTGGTGTGAGCGGAAACAGCACCCTCTTCACTCCCACCTAAGACCTGATGGGGATGGGGGAAGATGTAAACAGAATGTAGTCTTGTGGGGTGATACCTAAGGGGTGTTCTGGTCAGGACGTAGCAGGTTCTCAATCTTTCTTAGATCAGCACAAGGAAGAATGCTTTTCTGTCTGGCTTCTGTCATCTGTTTTTTCTGTTTCTGCCTCTGTGTCTTTCTTTTCTCTCTACCCCCTCCCCTTGCCCTCCACCTCCATCTCTTCCAGAAGAGATGGTGGAAGTCTTAACCCAAGTTATGAAAGAATAGCAGCAAAAGTTAAAACAGATTTATAACTTTTCCGTTTCTCCAGGGTTCAATAAGGTTTCAAGACCAGCCAGGGAGGACAGTCTTTCTGTGTGAACCTTAGCAGAGACTGAGCAAAGGAGAACTGTGTCAGCAGAAGACCCAGACTGGGGGCATCAGAAAGGGCACCTGCTCAAATGTCCTGGAAGTCCTCCTCATAAAGGTCCTTCTATGTATCCTAGGAAGGGACGACAGCAACTCTACTTGCCCGCTGCAAGGTATCAGGAGAAAGCACTCTAACATGGCCTGTAAGACACTTGTAGGGCCCTGTCAGGTCGTTGCTCTGTCGCTGCTCCAGTTTGGCTGTGCACAGCTTCCCCATGACTGAGAATTATGAGGGGAGGGGGGCTGACATCAACCCTGCAGAGACTCAGCCCCAGCCCCTAGAATCAGATTCAGCCTGAACAGGAGAAGCTCAGCGGGGCGAGTGTTCCCACTTCCTGTTCAGGCACGCTCCTGAGGGCCCTGCCCAGTGTTGTGAGTAAACACGCATGGGTCAGCACCCTCCAGGTTCCCTCCAGGCCTCCCGATACATGAACCAAATTGAGGTTCCGTTCCCAAGCCGGAAAGGGAAGGACAGGTAACCAACTGCTCCCCCCACCCCACGCCCTCAAAGAATGGTTAGTTGTGAAGGGAAAGACCACGCTTACCGCTACTCCAAATAAATGACTTAGTCAGCTTCAGGCAGACTGGGCAACAGTCTTCTAGGAGACTCTTAAAACCCCCAAGAAAAACATTAGGGGGATGATTTTTCAGCACAGTCGCTCACCAACACCGAAGAACACAGGAGTGGACATCCCCAAAGCAGAGGAGACAGCAGCTCCCGGGTCCCCTTCCCAGCATCCCCTGGGCCAGGGCCTCCCATGGTGGCTGCAGGTATGGGCGGGGGCCCAGCTACCCAGACAGTGTCTTCCCTGCTGTGCCCCTGCCAGGGACAGCAATCTTGACACACTGACCTTAAAATCTAAGCCCCCAGCCTTCCACCTATCCATCCTCATTGGCCTCCCAGCCCCCAGCCAGCTCTCTATTCCTCCATCCCTCTAGCGTATGCATTGCATGCCACTCGCTGAGTGCCAGGCCTGTGGCACCCCGTGGGCAGTAGAATGTAAGGGAGCACACAAGGTAGAGGAGACCCCTGTTCTCAAGAGCTGGCATTTCCATGAAAGAGGATGCAGTGAAGTAAAGCCATCAACAGCTTACCTGATTCGGGCTGGTGTTAAGTGCTTGGAAGGAAATAGGCCAAGATGATGGATAAAGAGCCTGATGAGCCGGCTGGGAGGCAGCTGGAGGGCATGGGAGTGGGAGCAGGAGGACGGGACTGGGAGGTAGTGTTCAGAAGGGAACAGCAAGGGGGAGGCTTTGAGGCAGGAATGGACTTGACCTTCAAGGGCCCAGGAGAGGGCCCTCCCTGGTGGAGCAGGGGTTAAAGACAGCACTGCCAAGATATCGCCAGCCACTGCAGCACGACTTTGATCCCCGACCAGGAGGCTGACCCACAGGGCGCAGCAGACCTCTCCTGTCTCGTCTGCTGCTCCCCTCAGCAGTGTATTTCTGTAGATCTGTCTGTTCTGCTCCCCACTCTCTCTGGTGAATCCTTCACTGCCTCTCTATCTCTGGCCTGTACCCCAGCTCTTGTGTGTACAAATAAACAAATCTTTAAAAAAAAAAAAAAAAAAAGGTCTGGGTGACTGATGGCAACCAGAGGAGGAGGAGAAAGGGAGGGAGAGGGGAGGGGAGGCCGGAACTGGGGCGGTATGGGTGGTATCCCCCACACATGAGGCTTTGCAGGCTACTCTTAACAGCACATGGTTTCTACTCCGGCAGCTGTTACTCCAGACTGGGCAATGGGGACAAGACTGGGGTCCTGGCGACCAGGATCGAGAACCAGAGTCGGCACTGTTCACTGTGATTAATTAACCTGGAGCCAGAGCCCCAAGGCACGGTGCTAAAAATACCTGCTTCCCCCTGCGATGCGCAGCTGCCACCCAGCAACTGTTACCCGCTGCCATTTGTCAGAGTTTGACACTGATAAGGAGTGTCCATCGGGCTGTGTGTCTGCAAGAATCAGGCTCATCCACAGCCCACCAGCCAGCTGGTCCTCAGAAACTGTCCATGATGCTCCCCTACCTGAAGTCTTCTCCCCACCGATGCCCCACCCGGGGCACCCCTGGCTGCACCTGCCACCTGCCTACTGCCTGCCAGATTCACTTCCCCTTCTGGAACAGGGTGGACCCGCCTCCAGGGGTGGGAGCCAAAGCATCTTCCAGGAGCAGGAGCTCATCGTCGGATGCCATGTTTCACACCACTGCAACCCTGCACCTCGGATTAGAGCCATCTATCAGAGCCCTGCCAGCCCAGGGCGGCACTTTAATTAAAATATGTAAAACATTCTGGTGGGAGTGGATCCAGAGACACAGGAACGGTGCGTGGACAGAGAAGCATGGGCCGGCCCCACCCGGGCAGCTGGCCCTTCTCCAGCCCAGGAAGCCAGGAGGGGCCACCCAAGCAGGATGAAGCATGGTGATGGCTGACTTGCACCACCTGCCCACTCCACCAGGCACAGACTTGGCAAGGGCTGAACATGGCAAGAATCAGAGCCACAGAGGCCACTGGCCAGCATGGTGACCCCAGGGGCAAGTCAGGAAGAACCTGGCATCACCCCAGCTGCCAGTCCTGGGATTAGAATATCCTATCCTCACTCTCAGGACTCCTCTTACACAATCCACTGTGAAGTTGGTACCTAGACATGGAGACAGGTTCTCTAGCAAAGCGGTGTCCTTCACGCTAATGAGCAGAGTCTTCATCCAGATTGCTTTCCACGCTGGAAGGAAGTGGCCCGCGCGTGCGCTGTTTA